ATATATATATATATCATTGTGGCGGTATCGGGCGTACATGGCAGTCAACGAGTAAAATTAGACAACACTTGATTTTACTGCATCCAGTTATCCAATCATATTGCGCGATAGTACAATGTCTGGTTCAGCCATGATGTGGTTTTGAATGAGGAAGAAGCGGGAGATRTTATTCTTCAACGAGTTTATTTGATATTTTAAGGCACTGTGACGCTATATAAACGAGTTAGGCTCTGGCTCAAGATGAAATCAACATTTCCGATCGCGCTAGCAGGGACTTATCGCATTCCYGTTTGTATTTAAACACTCCTCAGTAAATTAGCCGCGTAGCTAACTACGCTAGTTAGCATGCTAGCTGGACGCTGCTAGCTAGCGCACGGTTAGTTGTGTCGGTGCGGGCAGTAAAAAAAAAAGGTAAAATAGTATTTAAGAGGAGCGTTGGCCTTCAAAAACAGCCTTAGCTAATCTACCTCCGTTGAATGAAGCGCTTTGGCTTCATTTGACTTGACAACACATTACGGACCGAAAACAGCCATAGCATTTTGTCTTAAAACCAACTGTTATTAAAAACTTTTGAGCCATGCTGAGTAAACTCTATGAGTTCATAGAGACAACTTTTGCCAACAATCGCAACGGTGAACCTGCTGCGGAGGGCTCGCATGGACATCCAACACCCAGACAGGCTTTACTGAAAAGGAAAAGACCTATTGAATGGTGATGTGTTATGATACCGCAGTGTTTTTTTTTATAATGCACATTTAATGACTCAAAGTGACTGTAACTACCTATTTTGTCTTTAGTTTGGTGAAGCCAATTACACTATGATGTGCTTTTAACAAAAAATATTAATGTTTATTCTTTTAAGTTCGGGGGATGATCATAACATCCATCAAGATGATATTGCCATTAAGAAATCACGAATAGGTAATTTCATATGCACACACACACACGTTTAAATATATCATGTGGCCAGTAAAATTGTGTTATGTCACCCACACACTCACCTATGCATGTTGTTTTTACATTCTCTAGGGGACCTAATTGGTGGCGTTAAGAGTGCAGCTGAAGGGGTTAGACAAAACAGCATCAAAGCAGTTACATGGATGAAGGAAAGTGTCGGCCCGACTTGGAGAAATATTCTGCCTACATCCCCTGATTCCCCTCCTGGAGAGCCACAGCCATCAACATCAGCAGCAGTCGGGACAGGGAGACAAGTAAGACTCAATATTGCATATTAGTGCCATCAGAACACCTTTGACTTAGATTCTTATATTTAGATTATTCATATTGATTGATCGGTAAGTTAGTTTAGCCTACCACATCAGTTTTAAATATATGAACAACTTTAAAGTATCAGCTTGATAAAACTCTCTAAAATGTACTATTTCACACTGTTAATGTTACTATTTTATGCTTGTGCTTTTGCTACTAAGGTGTAAAAACATGATTTGCTTTAATGCTTGTCAGCTTCTAGTGTTCAACCTGCTCTTGAGCAGATGTTGACATCTGGGAATTTAGTTTAAAATCAGTTCATTGCGTTGGGTACTTTTCAGCAGCAAAAAGCCAAAAAGAGGGACAATAGCTTTCTTTTTTTTTTATCCTGAAAGTGTTGACACTGAAGTCTTTGGCTTTTACTGTAACATTCTTTTTTTTTTTTTGTTTGGTTTAAGATTGTCGACAGAAATTCTTCGTATGAAACGTTTGCTGCTCCTTCAACAACTTTGGACTGGAAAACACTCAAATCAGGTAAAATTGCAGCAGTGAAGTTGTCACAGTTACTTGTAATTTTATTTTGTTTTACAGAGATTTGGCCCTTGTTATTAGAAACTGTCAGATAATGTGGAAGCCCATTAAAATATAATCTAAGTATTTTCTAAACTGTCACTTTGAAACAATTTGAAAGTAATACATGTGTGGGGAAATATAAGTGTAGTTTTTTTTTTTTTTCTGTTTTACAGCAAGAATTGATTAGTACTATAAATTATATACTCAAGGTATTAATAAAGCCCAAACTTAAGCAAAAACATTTTTGAGTTGTGTGCTTAAGTATTTGTGTTTTCTTAAATTCATGGAGGAAAAATTGACTGTTTCTCCCTTTTTCCCCCATCAAACTTTAGAGTCGTTACACAACGAGAAGTTTGTGATTGGATCAAAAGTTTGTAGGAGACAAGCTTGTATGAGTTCTACACATTGTGAGGTGCCAAAAACAAATGGACACTCTTTCAACATCCCCTCCATCACTTCCAAAGTCCAGTCCCCCCCACGATTAGGCAGGCCCTTAATCCCTCAACCACATGGAACTTCAAGGTATTCCTTACATTTTAGTTGTTACGTTTCGCTTAATAATTAAAAAAAAATAGGAATGCTTTTATGTTTGTGTATGTTTTTGAATGTCAGGTCATGTTTGTTTTTAAATAAATTATTTTAGTAGTTTGCCCGGTGGAGTTGAAACAACGAACACCGTCTGCACCAACATGTACAGGAAGTCCTTTCCCATCAAACTAACGCAGAGCCCAAAACATGGCACCATGTCAAGCCGTTTACACAAGGACAGGCCCTACCTCACAGCGGAAGAGGTAAGACCTCAGGAAATATGGCCCAGTGTCTTTCCTGCTGATCCATTTGATCCGTTAAAGCCAATGTTCCTCTGTTTGCCTATTAGTGTATTTGCATGGAGGAAAAGGAAATCTACCGTCAGCTTCTGGCTCTGACTTCCGATGGTCAGTCATCTTCCCATCACAACGGCAGCTGGCACACCGTTGGGATGTCACAAAGAGATTAGTAAGTATGCAAACGCTCTGGTTGGTGGGTATTGCTCATTTTCATGATCAGTAACTGAGTTTACCTCTTATGTCGAACAGATCAAACACAAGGTTTTAAGTTTCAGAATAAACTGACTTTTATTGTGGTCATTTCAAAGTTGATTTCCTCGTCTGCAGCACAAGTTCACTTAAGAAACCTGTGGCTGGTCAGTCTGTGAAGCTGTCTGTCAGCAGTAGTCCAACAGCTGTTAATATTTTAGGCCATCGACTTTGACAAACGTTACTCTTTTCTCCTGAATTTTGTGAGTTTCTGAAATGATGGACGCTAACTCCTTCCTTGGCTGYATTTCCMGACATGAYGAAATATCAATTCAACATTTTGTTCCTGCAAGTAGTGGCCTAGTCTGGCCAGAAAGAAAAAGTATTTGTAGGCGGGCCTTGCTTGATGTCATAAATGGAAGGGGTTCTGTTTTTTCAACCATTAGCTGGAAAACTCACGCAAATCCCTCRCATTACTTTTTAACATTTGCAACAGAACATAGATTTTTTTTAAATGTCTTTATCACATTTTGCTGGATATGCAATATGGAAAAATGTTGCATGGAGCTTTAATAATGTTAATATGATATAACCTGGGGATTGCAGAGGAGAAATATTTTGCAATTTTCTGAGCTGTTTTATGCAATGGTGATAAAAGGCTGATTTATTCACTTTATAACARGAATAGGCAACAACTGAATCCTTCTTTCTATTTATCTTTTTACTGATTTGTGTCTGGGTTATGCATCCTCTCCCTCTCATTGTCCCAGCAGCAGCAGCTTCCTCACCAGCCGCAGACAATTGCAGGTCTCTTCCCCAGCTGGGTCAGCAGCAGGAGGAACCTCAGAGGGACCCAGCAGCCCCCTCAGTCCCAGGGATATATCAAGTCAGTCCTCCAGTAACCTTCCCAGCCCAGTGGGAGCCTCCAGCAAGCCAGAGACCCAGACGTGGTCTCGYGATGCAGATCTTGTTTCCAGTAGGGCAGCTGCTCTCACATCYGCTTTCTCCCCGTCAGTTCTACAAGACGGGACCTCTCAGGACTCACAGTCATCAGGTAACATGCTTGCATGAACACTTAAAAGGATATTGATATCTCAATATAATTTTGATATAAAATAAGTCAAATTTGTAATTAATCTTTTTGGGTTGTTAATATAGTTTCATTTTGTTTTTGTAGCTCAAGATGGTGACTCTGTAATTATTGTAAATGATCAAAAAGGCAAAAAGCAGGACAGCTCAAGGTAAGTGTCGTTTAAACATTTTGTGTTGCAGGTGTTTGTTGTGAGGGAAAAATTACAGGCATCTTCGATAGCTTTCTGAAAACCTTTTTCCTTTTTTTCTTTTACAGTTTATCGTGGTTGGAACCTGAAAGATGGATCAAAGAACTGTAAGTTTACTATKCAATATATCATATTCATTTTCAATGATACAATACTATATGAGCAGGGATGAAKAAAACAACAGTTTGGTTTTTATTTATTTCTTTTTTGTCTAGGAGTAGCAGGTATGATTCTCGGGCAAGAGAAAGACGGAGACTAATAGAAGAACAGGAAGCCATTACCGCTCAGCTGCTTAAACAGGTTAGTGYTCAGTACAGAAGTCTGTATTTAGGTCCAGTGTTATCATGTTCATAGTCTTTATTATGCTTAAATTCTGTCATTTCTGGTCCACAGCGCTTGTTTGAGATACATCGAAGCCCAGATGTGGAGGTCCATGTTCGAGTTCCATTGGAAAAGGAGGTTCCTTTGACTCCTCTTGTGATAGAAGAACCAAAGCTTTTAGAGGAGAAACCAGAATTTCCTGAACTTACAGAGGTAAGCTTCTTATGCTTTATTGCCCTTGTTGAGCAAAGTAGTTCAGCACTGGTTCAGGGTGGGCCTAATCAATGTAGAGGAGAACAGGGGAGAAATTGTCTAAGTTACATAGAAGAGAATTTATCTAAAAATAAACGTCTGCCATTTAAAACGGCCCAACCTGCAAAGATTTAATAGCCATAGATGTGAACGCTATGTTTTCTAGATAATTTTGCTTTATTGATTCAACAGGAAAAGATTACTAAAAATCAAGCCTGACTCAGCATAATTGCTGTTGTAMTATAGGTATTTGCGCTGGGTATGATTAACACTGTCTTGCAACAGGTTTTTAACATGGAACATGTTTCAAAGGACTATAAAGGGACTATGTTTCTTCTCAAACAAATRGTATTTAAAACAATCTGTTTAATCCAAAAGTGATGCATAAAAAACTTGTAAATAAAGTGTACTTCTGACTAGTCCGAAGTACTTCAAAAAAACAGTCTTTAATAATGATATCAGTTTATTCTCTCATCTCTTAAATTAGGCAGAGTAGAATCYACACAAAGTCTGTTATTTTGGACATGGTGTTTACAGTTTAACTTGTCTGTTTGGTCTCCATGACATCACCCCAGCTCCTGATGAAAGTGTTTTAAAATTTCTACTTCATACTGCTTTAATAAATACTACTTTCTACTTCTGATTCGGAAAGATCAGGGGATCTTTATGAGGCAGAATCTGGTGCTTTCATAGCTGAAACAAAACAAACTGGTATTAAGTAAGCACTAACTCTGAGTTAGAACTGTGCTTTACTGGGAGAAAGTAGCTCACTGTACTAGCAGTGTTAACCATKTTTACAGCCAAATTAACAGTTTAGTGTTGTTTTGAACACCATGTTTATTCTTTTTTTTCCACTGGTTATTAAATAAAAATACATTTTCTGTTGAGGAAATGGAGGCTGAGGTGGACAGGGTGCTGATGAGAGGGGGAAGTCCTCATGAAGTCCTAAGTGAAGGTTTTGGTCTCAGTCTTACACGTAAAGACTTCCAAACTCTCAGCAACCTGAACTGGCTCAACGACGAGGTGAGAACATGATGCAGCTGAAGTCATAAGTTATGTCTTTGTGTGGAAATTTTCAGATAACTTCACAAGGCTTGGATGTGCACTTTTTAAATTAAAATATTTAAAATCAGTTGTAATAGCTCTACAGTTACACTTCATGTTAACTCAATCTGCTCTGTTTATTTCCTCAGGTCATCAATTTCTATATGAATCTGCTGGTTGAACGCAGCAAAGACCCCAACATGCCATCAGTGAACACGTTCAACACATTCTTCTACCCTAAGCTGCGCAGCAGCGGCTACTCTGCTGTTCGCCGCTGGACCAAAAGGATGGATATCTTTGCGAAAGACCTCCTGTTGGTTCCTGTTCACTTGGGGATGCACTGGTGCCTCTCTGTAAGTCTAAATTTAAAGTTGTAAATAATGGATGATTTTTATCTTGTTTACTTTCTTTTTAATTATTAATTTTTTTCTACTTTTAGGTAGTGGATTTCCGCAAAAAGTATGTCACATACTTTGACTCAATGGGAGGTAGAAACGATGACGCCTGCCGATTGTTGTTGTAAGTTTTTCTCATGTTTGTTGGTTTTATTATTGGGAAATGAATTTTAAGAGCAACTTAAGCATTGAGGCTTTATCAGTCAATAGAGAAGTTAGAAAGAAATTGTTTTTGTTTCCTCAGCAACTACCTGAAACAGGAAAGCTTGGACAAAAAAGGCAAGGAACTGGATACCTCAGGGTGGACCCTGCACAGTAAAAAGCCCAGTGTAAGTTGGACAAAAACAGGAGATACAATATTTATTGCATCATATTTTATTTTCATGTTTTAAGACATTCTGTATAGGTTTTAGTGTGTATCCAGTAACTTAGAGCTGGCTGACCAGCATCAAATGCTGGGTATGGCTTTTTTAAACCCTACTCAAGCTTTAGTTTGTACAGCTTTTAAACATTTTTTAAATAAACATTTTTAAGATAAAAAAGGAAGGTCACTGCATAAATCTGAGGTTCATCATAATGTTTAAAATCACTGTTTTAAAATCCAGTGAAATCTGATAAAGCAAATTGCATTTCTTCAGGAAGTTGCAAGTTACTGTACTTAAAAATATATATCCGTGTTTTAGGAATTGGTAAATCAACACCCAACGTGCATTTTGAATATTTTAAACGCTACAGGTCTATTTAGTCAGACATTTTGGCTACGTTCACACTGCAGGCAAATCCGACCCAAATCCGATTTTTTGACCCATCTTTATGACAGTCTGAACGAGACAAATCCGATTTTTTCAAATCCGACCCAGGCCGTTTCAGTATGTGGTTTTAAATCTGATGTTTTCAAAGTGACTGCAGTGTGAACGCTCATGTCACATTCCATCTGACTTTTTCATCAGGAGGAGGGGGTGAAGGATCGATAAGACACTAACCTCAAGTCTCCTGTTTAAATCTGTAGCTCCGTGTGTTTACAGCTCCAAAACACAAGTCCAGTAGCTTCATCTTTTTACTTTTCATTAGTATGATAATAACGATATCCAGCCTGGGTCGCGGAGAGTATCGATCCTAAAGTTAGCTACTCGGTCGATAACTTTTTTCCAGCTCGTAGTTTCGTTCCCAAAAAAAAGCTTCACTGGAGCATCCCGGTCAGAGGCAGGTTCAGATATAAACACTGAACTAAAGAAGCAGGTCAGATAATTATTTAATCGGCTCTGATTAAACAACAACTTCCGATTTGATGTGCAAAATGTAGCATCCATGCTAGCTCTTTAAACAAACAAGCCAGCTGATGAGACGTCACGTCTTTTACTGCGCATGCGTGTCACATCAGTGCTGTGTAGCGTTCACACAGGGGTCTCATACAGGTCACATTTAAAATGTAATGTGAACGTTCACACAAAAAGATTGGATTTTTTCAAAAAATCGGAACTGAGCATTAAGACCTGCAGTGTGAACGTAGCCTTTGACTTGGTAAAGAAGGGGCACATTCTGTTTGGAGTTCGGTTCATTAGGATGTTTACAGAACAGCCAGTATGCACAGCTACAGAAGTGAAATGCAGCCCTTGTTATTACACCTGCTCCTTCACTCAAAGTTCATTTAAAGTTTAATTGTCTACCATGAGATAAACCTATTCTAGACATTTAATTTAACTTTTGATTTTCTTCTTTGCTCGCAGGAAATCCCGCAGCAGATGAATGGTAGCGACTGTGGAATGTTCACATGCAAATATGCAGACTACATAACCAGAGACAAGCGAATCACCTTCACACAGGTAATCACCAACAGCAAATATTAATATTGATCTTGTAAATCTTAATCACGGTAGACTAGAAATGGAGGACTTCTGCTTTGATCAACAGAAACACATGCCCTACTTTAGAAGAAGGATGGTTTGGGAGATTCTGAAGCACACATTATTGTGATGCTGAGACTTTTTACAATCACCCTACAGCTCCTAAAGACTGAGCCACCATCTTTAGGTGGACCCACCGACAGTCCTTGTTTCTGGGCCAGACTCGCACACCAGCTCCTCACACCAGGAACCTGTTTTTTTCTGTTCTCAAGGGACATTAAAGCCCTGGGCCGTAGTTGACAGATGGGATGTTGCTGGAGCACAAATCACTGCCTCACAGTCCTCTGTTCCAGTTTTTTTTTATGTTTGATGCATCGTCTGGAGCATCAGTAAAGCAGCTAAATCACAGCATTGTTTTGATTTGCCTAGCCAGAACTGGTTTTGGATCACAGTTACATTGACCAACAAGTCATACTCTGATCTGTTATATTTGTTCTAAATATTAAATTTTTTATCAAAAGAAGTGGTACATAGATGCTCTTGGTATGGTTCAAAGAGGGATTACTACAAATCCAATTTCACGAGCAGCTTGGCTAAGATCTGTTTTTTGATTTGGTGAAATATCTTTTTTTTTCTTTTTTCATGAAAAAGGGCTACTAATGATTGCTTACTCAAAATAAGTAATCACATCATTTTTTGTTATGACTACAACTGCTGCAGTCTAGACAATTCCTCAGAGTATGATTCAGATGTAACAGATCAGTTATAATCTTAAACAGCAGGGTAATAAAATTGTCAGTAATTCATTATTCTTGATAAGATTGTAAATTAAAGTCTATTTTATATATTTGTTTTTTCCCCCAGTTTTGTTCAACAGCAATTTTTTGTGGCATATTCAATATATTTTGAATTTTGTACATAATTTAAACCTACAGTGTAATAAACATTTTTGTATGTATTTACTATTAAATCCCGACTGAAGTCTGTTTCAGAAATAAATCATCCAGCATTTTATTTTATGTAYAACCTCAGCATCAGCTGGATAGGAGGGGAAAAGGGCCATATTTGCAAAACATGATGGTTGTCTTGATTTATTTGAACTTATAACCAGCAAGATTGTTCTTGGTTTAATTAAAAAAAAAAACACAAAGTACAGTGGAAAAACATTTATTTAAAAATAATGCAAGCTGTAAGAGGTCTGTCATTTTCTCATCAGAAGAAGAAAATCCTGCGTGGCGGCACAAGCCAACTGATGCAGGAAACCAAAAAGTTCACACACATTGAAACGGTTTACAAGTTGACCTTATTGAACTGCCTTCAGCTCACAGCAATCCAAAATCAGCAGCAGGTATTTTTGACTCAAACCAACATTTACTTCAATGTTTGGTACTGAAGGACGTCCTGATGCAGTGTAGACGTGGCTTAACATTTGTAGTGCGCGAAATTCCAGTCAGAGATGAAGTCCAAGAAAACAAGTAGCATTTCACAATCCCTTCCAGTGAAATTTAAGGCATCTCTGTGTAACTGAATTTTTTTTTAAGGGAAGGAAACAGCTTGAACTATAGTCTGCATATTAACCAACAGAAAATATGAAACTGGATGCCTGCCTTCAAACGCTCAAAAATTGATCTACCATGTTGAGCTTGTAAATAAACCATATTTTCAGAACTAATTGTTCAATTAAAGCCTTCTATAATGACAGATAGAAACCAAGACTGTAAAATCCACATAATGAAGTGATCCATTCTTATATGAGGTGGTTTGGGATATTTATAGTATTGCATTTCTATGGAGAGCACATTTATTGCATAGATCAGACCTTGGGCATAGTTTCCAAATATTGGACGGATGTGGACACAGAACCAGCTGTGAGCAGGCTCAGACTGACTGACTATTCAGCCGTCGCCTGTGAATCTTTAGTCTACATTGTTCTGGCAAAATGAGGTAATCTGAGGTTTTGAGCGCTTTTTTTTTCTTCTTTTTTTTTTACCCTAACTGTTTAGGGTTCAACTCTGTAACTATACATCTGAAGCTAAYATATCCACAATTTGGAGTCATGTTCATAAAAGTGCCAACATTTGTGACATGTGAAACAAAAGTGTAAAAACAAAAAAAGGCTCTTTTGACTCGGAACAGTAAAAAAACAGAAACATGAAATTCATCATTAGTTAAAACAAGACATCTATCTCACTGTTTGCAGGAAACAAGACATTATCAAAAATAAAATCAAAACTTCTTTGAAAACAAAATCATTTTTAAACCTGTTTTTTTAAAAAAAAAACTTTAAATAACAAATGTTGAAAACAAAGATAACAACTATATATATATATATATATATATATATATACACACACACACACACACACACACACAAGATGCAAACATACTGCAATGACCAGTAATAAAGCATCTCTATACTGGCCACGATAATCTCATTAGTGTTCTCTAGAGATATAAGAGGACCAACCCATGCTTCTTTACACCATTATAAAAACATCCTAATCTTCCCTAAAAAAATCATTTCATGGGATTTAGTTAAAATTTAGCTTCCCCTTTTGAGAACAACAGAAACCAACCAATGTTGTGATGGTACTTCAGAAACATCGTAAAAAAATATCCTAAAGTGTGGTTTTCTCATATACAGACACTTCTTAGTATTTTGATCCCTGCTGAGTAACTTTGGATTGAGAATTGTGGAGCAGCATCAAGTAACCAAATGTCTCAGATAATAAAACAGTGGCATGCGAAAGTTACATTTTTGACATTTACATTAATGTGTGCAAAAAAAAAAAAAAATCTAAATATTTGAAGTAAGTTTAAGGTTAATTTTTTGTACAGCTTTTAAAGAAATAACTTAAGTGAAGAAATTTAAAAATCCGGTAACCACAAAGATTTTTTTCTATTTTGTTTTTCCTTAATGTGTCACTCTGCTGGTAGAGCCGTGGCCAAAATGACTGTAACCGCTGGGTGGTATGGCAGGCCATTTTAACATAAAATCAGCTTTGTCTGTAATTATGTTGTAGATATCTAAAAAGGAGTTTTGACTAGAAATAACTACATTTTCACTATTCTGAATAGTAATTTAAGAAATCTGTATTTACATCCTCGCTAATCAGAAGAACAATTCAAGATATCTTTAAAGGAATTATGACCAGTCAAAATCACATTTTTCGGTCTGAAATAATTAATTACACAGAGGCTCCCCTGCTGCCACTGTGCCGTCTAAACAGCTGCTTGCAGAATTTTGCATGACTGCAATGACATCTGTGTATCTTAATTCATGTCAAGCTTAAATTAATTCAGAGATATCTTAAAAGACATTTTGACTAGTCATGATTACAGTTCTAGATTACTCTAATTAATTTTGCTGAGTCATTGTTTGCTTTCAAGGTATCTGCAATTTAATTTGCACTAGTTAAATCTTTATATGTGACATCTATGAATACATTTAAGGTATCTTGAATAACGATGTAATTTAGGACATCTTTACTTGGAACTATGACTAGTCGGAACAAAAAGTAAGATTTTGTCAAAGCAAATAATGACTCAGCAAAACTAACTTAGAGATCTCTCGAATGTATTTTTGACCAGTCAAAACTCCCTTTGAATTGGATACAACTTAATGGTGAAAAAGGATGTCATTTATAATACTTCAAATATTATTAGAGATATCTTAACTTATAGTAGGGATGTAGGTGCGGTAAAGTCGATTTGTTGATAAAATGGCCTGCCATATAGCTGGTGCTTCAACTGTGGTTTTAGATGTGTTGCTGAATTTCCTGAGATTGAGAAGAYCGCCTCTTCAACTGTTAAACACGCCAGTGGGTTAATTATGATTTGGGTTTTTTCTGTTCCAATAATAAGTGATGTCAAGAACATTTTATTGATCAATACAAGAGAACCCAAAAACTTCACATCATCATTAGTTTTCTGAGGAAAGAATGTGCACGACTATCGTAATTTTTAAATTGTAAAAAAATAAAAGTAAACCATAAACCAAAACTCTGGATGTCTTTTACTCACACATTTACATAAAGATCTTTTGCAGGCCACTGTAACTGGAAT